AGTTGCACAGCTCCCGATGTACACAGGATAATGTCTTTAGGCGCACTGACTTATGAAGGTTGGTGCTCCCTGCGACTTTATGTGCAGCCTTGTGCTGCCATCTGTTGGCGTGTTACAAAACTAGTCTTGAAACATTTCGTTACCACCTCATACTAATTGTGCTTTATCTATGGAATATTTATTTATTTCTTTCAGGTACTTATATAGTGCCATCAATTTACTCAGCACTTTACATATATATTGTACATTCACATCAGTCCCTAACCGTCAAGGTGCGTACAATCTAAGGTATAGCAGCGTTATCACTCTAAAGCTTGCCATAAGTGGATCTTAATCCCAAATGTAATTGAGCCCTTAGCCCCCATTCACACCGGGTGCAACTAGTCATGTGACTTGACAGATCAAAGTCGTATGGCATGTTGCACCCCATTTGCCAATGTGGCACAGTTGAAATCGGTGCGACTTGAGCGCTTTTTCTGCAATTCCATGTGCGACTTGCATTGAAATAGATTATATCTTGGCATTTCCTACAAAAGTCAATGTTAGTTGGCACTACCCTCTCCTTACTCTCATAGTTTTATAGTTAGGCTAGCCATACATTATACAAATTTGCTTGAGATTTTTGGTTTAGATTTACCAAAAACCATGTAATATGAGGTCAAACCTAACAACACTTTAAATTGTATCCAATTGGGCAGGCTCTTGCACTACATAGTTGAAGGTAAATCTAAAGGAAATTGGACAGAAAATTGTATAGTGTATGGCCAGCCTAAGTAAGGTTATATAAAGACACCAGTCCACCGAGTTCAACCTGTGAATTATGTGTGGTAGTGTGTTTACATCACTACCATTTTTCATATCTCTGTATATTGCATTCGTTAAGATGCCCATCTAAGAGGTTTTTTTTTTTCCCCAAATTGACACTTCTTACTGACACCACTGATTATGGATGAAATTCTACATCTTTACTGCTCTAACAGTAAAGAACCCCCTTGTACAGTTTACGGTTGAACTGCATCTCCTCCAATTTTTATTGTGTAGCCTGTGCAGGGGTGTATTGTATTTATCACAAGGCAAATAAGGCATTTGCCTAGGGCGGCATTTTTCAGGGGCGCAGCAGCATCTTTCAAGGGGGCAGCACCACTCCCCAAAATAAGTGTTGCAAGAAGGGACACACGCAGCATGGGGACCAGGTGGGATCTGAGAGAGGCTGCTTGATGGTGTATGCAGAGCCTGACTCTTGTTCCCGGGGATGTCTGGAGCTATGAAGGTGAGTGTCTTTTCTCTCGCAGGGGTGGGGGGTTGCCAGTGTATGGGGGGTAGTGGTAGTGAAAGGCTCTAAGGTGGGGTGGGGGAGCTAAGGTGTTGGTCAATGTCAGGCTCTCTTCGTGGGAGAGATGGATGTTGGTTGGTGTCAGGGTCTCTCCATGGGGTTGGGGGAGGGAAGCCAAATTTTGGGTTGCCTAGGGCACCACAAAACTTAAATACACCACTGGACCTGCGTGTCTTCTTAAGCTCCCTGAAACTGAATCATTTCCTCCCTGTGCTAGAACACCATTGAGGTATTTGTATATCGCCATCATATCTCCTCTCAAGCATCTCTTCTCCAGGGAGAAAACCTTTAATCTTATAGTCAGTCCTTCTTCGAAACTGACCTCTCAAGTCTCTGTATCGGTCTTTAAATTGAGTGGGTGGCCTCATTCTCCAATTAGGTGGTTTGTGATATGGGAAGGGGAGATACAATCTTAGCATTTGAAAAAAAATGGGGATTTACCTATAACTTTCCCTGTCCATAAATTTGGATCAACTTTCATGTATGCGCAAGCAGCTTTCACTACTGCCTAGCTTTTATTACGTTGCTATTATTTATTATTATTATTATACAGGATTTATATAGCGCCAACAATTTGCTCAGCACTTTCCAATACAACGGGAGACAATACAGCAACAATACAGTTCAATACAAGAGGGTTAGGAGGACCTGATTCTGGGAGCTTACAATCTATTAATGCTGAAATTTTAAAATAGAAAACTATATTAGAAGTTATCTATAGCTTTGATCGTTTAATGTTGGCCACACGTCTATTGTTCCAATCTTTCAACAAAACGATCAGCTTGACACTGATCAAATCTGGTATTTATCGATCATTTTTCTATTGCATTCAACTCATTTTATGGGATCAAATCAAAGATAAAAAGCATTCAGGTCATTTTCAAACTGATCATGTGGCGTACGGCGAAAACAGTTACTTTTTACCTGATTTACTTTTCCTACATTATTTAGATGAAAATGCAAGCAATTTACTATGTGATCGGATTGGATTATCCATCTCATGTATGGTGAGAATAGAGGATTTACCCAGCATCCTCCCCTAACCGTTTAGAGAGAAAAAAAAAAAAAAAACTTTTCAGAAACTTCCAACTAACACGTTAAATGAAATCACCATTTCTTGTCTTTTCCATACAGGGTTCATTAAAAAGATAAAGAAACCGGAGACAAAAAAAAAAAAAAAAAAAAAAAAAAAAAAAAAGGGACAATTAAATCAGAAAAAGAAAAAAAAAAAAGCCTTCTTTTGTTCTTTTGGCGAAATTAAAAGCCCGAGCATGCAGCACTTCTTCCCTCCCACAGATTTAATTTACTTCACTTAATTAGCCCTCCTTCAGTGCAAAAACCATAATTTGATAATGAGGTTGTGAAAAGACATAATATGCATCAAATCTATTGCAATTTCAGCTGCCCTTGCGTTCCCAGAACACGTTCTATTGTTAGGGGAGCGGCAGTGAGCTCCATGAGATATGCTGTCACACAAATGCTGCTGAAACTAGCGGCACGCACACACCTGTGCGAGCGCCTTCTTCCCTCCTGCCCTGTCGGTACCTGTGGCTTGGGTTAACCCCCCTGCGGCTGCGGTGCAGCAACTAGGCTTGTGTAGAGAGTAAGCAAAACTAACATGACAGAGGGAATGCACAGACAACTAAATCCTAGGCTTAGATTGTAAGCTCTAACGAGCAGTTTTCCCCTTGTCCCAAATTGTATTGTACCTTCATTTTGTAAAGCGCTGCGCATACTGTTGGCGCTATATACAGTAAATCCTGTATAATAATATATAGTATGCATATACAATACACAAAGAAAATAATAGCCAAAGGCAGTTTTCCTTTGGAGTGAATGTTCCAGAGTCTAAATGTACAGCGGCAAATTATTATTATTATAAAGGATTTATAATGCGCCAACAGTTTGCGCAGCGCTTTACAAATTGAAGGTAGACATTACAGTTACAATACAATTTGGTACAAGAGGAAACAGAGGCCCTGCTCGTCAGAGCTTACAATCTAGGAGGAAGGGTTGAGTGATACAAAAGGTAATAGCTGTGGGGGGATGAGCTGATGGAGGAAAGAAAAAATAGCGGTTTACTAGGTAGAAGCAACTTCTTTAAAGAGAGGTTTTCAGGGATCGTATAAAGGTGGATAGATTAGGAGACAGCCGGACAGATTGGGGTAGAGAGTTCCATAGGATGGGAGAAGCTTGGGAGAAGTCCTGGGAGGTGAGCATGGGAGGAGGTGACACGGGAACTAGAGAGCAAAAGGACTTGGGAGGATCGAAGAGAGCGGTTTGGTTGATATTTTGAGACCAGGTTGGTGATGTAGCTGGGGGCAGAGTTGTGGATGGCTTTGTAAGAAGTTGTTAGTATTTTGAATTTTATTAGTTGAGCGAGTGGAAGCCAGTGGAGGGATTGGCAGAGCATTTGGCATGCATCTTTATTGATGTAACACTGGTATTTATATTTACACAGCCCCTTTCATATTGTACATTTACATGATTTCCTGCCCTCAAGGTGATTACAACCTAAGATCCCTATCTCACATATATAGATGAGCTTGGGTAGTAGCGTCCCTAGGTGCGCACCGCACCGGGTGACACCAAACCCTCTCAACGAGCTCCACGAAAAGGAGTTTTAAAGCAAGCCGATGATCCCCACAAGATGGATCGGATCCGCAGATTGAGCATAATGCATCGGAGTCCGATCCATTATTCTCCACAATCTGCAGATCCGATCCATCTTGCTGAGATCATTGGCTTGCAACCTAAATGGGGTTAACTGATCTAGGTAAGGCTGTGATAGATCCGGGACTTGTCTGTAATCAGGAAATGTTTATATTCTGAATTCGAGTCGAATTTCAGATGAAATTTTGTTGCGCCGTTTTGGATTCGTTACCATTGTAATTCAGAAATTCGGATGCATTTGAATCTCTGAACGATGAAAATTTTGTTAAAATGTTGATTCGGAACAAAAATGTACTGCACATGTCTAACGTGCGGCTGTGGGGTGTAGACTGCCACTACTGCAGATGATTGGCCCGTTAGAGGTGCCAGCTTCCTGGCAGGTTCAAAACAGCATGTGAAGATGCGTGAGCTTACATAAATAAAAGCACACATATACTAGGGCCAATTAGGACAGGAGCCAATTAACCTAGCCACACATATACAAGGGAAATAAATATGTGCGGCGGGGGGGGCAATGCCTTGGTCTGTTAGGAATGGCGTTGTGCAGCAACAGCTTCCAGGGGGGATAGCTCAGATGGGTTCGGACTAGTATCCAAAACACGTGTGAGCTCAGTCCTACCTACCATGTGTGGGAGGAAACTGGATAACCAGAGGAAATCCATACAAGCAAAGGGAGAATGAACATGCTTGCAAAGATTTCCTCTGGTTACTCCAATTTTTCCCACACATGCTAGTAGGTAGGAATGAGCTCAATCGTGTTTGGAAACTAATATGAACCCACCTGAGCTGGATGCTGTCACTGCACACCACCAGTCACAAGAGGCGAGGCATTGCCCCACTGGTTGAACAAAAAAAAAAACCGAATATATGGGCTGCCTGACACTGTTTTAGTAAAATGATTGTACGATCAGATGTATGGGCTGTATGGCCAAAGTTTAGATTTTGTTGGATTAAGGTTAGTCTAAGTACAAGTCTTTCTACAGTAGTTACTTACCACGTGACTTCATCCCGATGTAGCGATTTTCAACAATGTCAATACGGCCAACACCATGCTTTCCCCTGCAAAGACACGAATGAGAGAGTCACTCCCTGAGATTGATTTACCCTGGAGAAGCGCGGATTAATTCAAGTGATCACATAAGCTGGCCAGAGGGAGACTATATTCAGTTTGGAGCAAATTATTGCTTTTTCATTTTATATATATATATATATATATATATATATATATATATATATATATATATATACACATATACACATATACATACACATATACACACACACACACACACACATACACACACACACACATATATATATATACACACACACACACACACACACACACACACACACACATATATACATAATATATAGATATATACACACACTATACAGTAAATATACCAACAGAATTATGCTATTATACCAGCCCTTTACATTTTCCTTTGTTCCCTGTGAATTTATCCAGCCCATTCCTGGGAGGAGTTGAGATTAGAGCAGAGTCATGCTACTAAAATTCACAAGTGTTTGGTAATCAAGCGATCAATTGCTACACAGGTGGAACAAATGGCTCCCTATGGTGCAAACTACACAGTCAGCCTGTAGTGCAATTAATCGCTCATGATCACACAATGCTCCAATTGAATGTGTGTGAGTGGGTGCTTGTGCATACTACTTGTTTAGCTTATACCATAAGGAGCCATTTCTTCCATCTATACAACAAACAATTACGATTTGTGTGAGTGCATGACTAAAAATCACCTTTGTAGCTGTAGGCTTATTGCACTTCCTATGGTTAGAAAATCATTAGCAAAAACGGTCGGATTTATAAAGATCTGCCGAATGTGCATACGATAACGCCATATATTTGTTTCCTGATATTTGTTTCCCAATTATTGACATATTATATAGATCGATAACATAAATAGTAAATTTTTTTGTCGATTGAGTACATGATGTTGATGGATTTCCGGGGTTACATTTTTTTTATGCGCATGCGCTGTAGAAATTTCTAACTGTTCTCAAACAATTCCACTACTAATGTTTCGAAAATCGATTGTTTAGGCTTAAAAAATCTGACATGATGGCTTGCTTTTTTTCCCATAAAACTTTGCAATTCAATAATTCAAATTAGCTCTCTAAAGTTTCGAAAGTCGAAGGATTGAGAGTATTGAATGCTTTTTCGAAAGATTTTCTAACCGTGTAGGTCAGCATAAGAATGCTGTCTGATTACATAGATTGGCTTAGTTCACAGGTGGATGAGTTATTTTATCACTACTATTCATTCTATCACATGACCGTTTTCTCCTAAAAATGTTCAATTTGCATAAAGATTTTCTCATTAATAATTTTTTGTGTGTTATTTTTTGTAGCGCCCTGCCCTAGGTAGGCTAAATTTAGTCTTTGGCTCTGATATACTCAGTGGAGTAGTGATCGTTTTTTTTTTTTTAGGTCTGGTCAAGATTCTCTAAGCTTAGTGGTTGATTACTCCTGCCTGTGCCTGGAAGAGATTCCAGGAAGTAGAGTAGGAGGGTCAACCACGGAGTTATGAATATTTATCGGACCTCAGCCAATCCTTGGGAAGGGGCATCCAGAAAGTGGCAGGGGAGATGATAAATGTTTGGGAGTCTTGCTCTGAGTGTTCTTCTCTTGGGGCTGCTGCCCCTGAGATGAACTTGTGTACCGAGGTGCTGATGCTAGTTTTCAGCATGTGCTTAGCTAAGGGCCTGAACAAATTACATTTGTTGGAGGTCTGGAAGAGGATCCTTTTCTTTTCTCCCTCACTGAAGAGTGGCACATGAATGCTGGAATGGGACAGCTGTCCTTGGACATTGTGATCTAGGATCCCAGGTATGTACCTCTGGGTGTGGCCTATTTGCCGGGTAGATAGGAACTACACCAGGTTGTGAGGCTAGATAGGGACCACTCCATGGATACACTCACTAGTGCCCGGGACTAAACAGGACTGTAGTAATGCAAAGATGTGCATTAAGGCAGGAACTCCGTACTTAAAAGTGAGCCATCCACCTTACACAGAATTACAGTAACATTAACACATCTCACTTACACAGTTATATAGCTAGTCTGGCTGAAAAAAAAGACAGAAGTCCATCCAGTTCAACCATTTAATATAAAAAAAGTTATAATCCTATACCCACAGTTGATCCAGAGGAAGGCAAAAAAAACCCAGCAAAGCATGATCCAATTTGCTCGTGCAGGGGAAAAAATTCCTTACTGATCCCCCGAGAGGCAATCGGATATTCCCTGGATCAACTTTACCTATAAATGTTAGTATCCAGTTTATATTCTGTGTATCCAAGAAACAATCCAGGACTTTTTTTTAAAGCAATCCACTGAGCTGGCCAGAACCAACTCTTGAGGGAGTCTATTTCACATTTTCACAGCTCTCACTGTGAAGAAACCTTTCCGTGTTTGGAGATTAAATCTTTTCCTCCAGAAGTAAAGAGTGCCCCCCCTTGTCCTCTGTGAGGACCTCAGGGTGAATAGCTCTACACCAAGTTCACTATATGAACCACTGATGTATTTATACATGGAGATCATATCCCCCCTTAATCTTCTCTTCTCAAGAGAGAATAAATTCAGTTCCTCTAATCTTTCCTCATAGCTGAGCTCCTCCATGCCTCGTATCAGTTTAGTTGCCCTTCTCTGTACTTTCTCCAGTTCCCCAATGTTCTTTTGGTGAATTGGTGCCCGAAATTTAACTGCATATTTCAGATGAGGTCTTACTGATTTGTGCGGGGTAATATGATATCTCTCTCTCTGGAGTCTATACCTCTTATAATACAAGAGAGGGTTTTGCTCGCTTTAGAAACCGTAGCTTGGCATTGCATGCCATTATTAAGCTCGTGATCTACCAGAACCCCCAGATCCTTCTCCACCATTGATTTCCCCAGTTTGTACCTCCCCCCCCCCCCCTAGTATGTATGATGCATGAATATTCTTAGCCCCCAAGTGCAGAAACTTACATTTATCAACTTCCTGTGAGACCACACACCTAACTTCCTGAAAGCAGCATTTTGAAGGGACAACGTGGAGCCTGTGTCCCGCTCCACCAACCAGCTACTCTGGTCTGCCACTGGAAGTAAGTGATGTGGCAGAGATCGCGGATCTTCTACATGTGCACCAGTTAGCTCCTTACTCTCCCGTACCTGCACCTAGATCTATAAGGTCTCTGTGCTGTTGATTTGGCCCTGAATATTTTAGGGTACTGACCACTAGGGAGGGAGTTGGAGCACTGATCACCTCACTAACCAGAGGACCCGTCCCCCAAGCCCAGTACCTCCTTTCGACTGGCTGCCTGCAAAGGCATTCCCACCAGTCCTGGTTACCAATAGCAATACGGCATGATAGACATCTACCCACCGACTCCTCTGCCTACCCTTCCTTAGTGGCACTCTGACTTCTCCTCTTCATCCCCCTTCTGTGTGTTCAGGCCCTGTTCTTTTGATAAGCCATGTACCTTAATGCACCCCTTTTAATGACTTCAGACCAGGCATGATGTGGTTATCAGCAAATTTACTGAAGACTTGCAGCAGTATAGAACATAATGCTCAGTCTCTCAGAAACGCAGATACAGCCCTAATTTAACTAAATGTTGACTTCCCACTGCATACCTTGCCCACAGATAACAAGTCCTGAGCAACAGTCCATTATTGGTGGTTTCCTGGCTCCAGCCAGGTGACCCAGATGCAGGGAACCTGCTGCTCCAACCAGACTACATAGCTCAGCAGACCGAATACAGCATGGCTATGTCGAACACTCAGCCCTGCGCCCTCCCCCTATATTTAACAGAGCACAACAGGGGAAGGACTCCAAAAAGCCCCGGAAAGAGTTGAGCAACTATTAACACCTTCCAAACTACACAGTCACATATTGCAAATACTTCAACGGTAAAAATACATTCACTGGTACCCAGTAAGCACCTGCTTACACAGGGAAATAAGTTCCAGTGGTTGATGTCAGGATGGGAGTTGCTCCCATGGAGTCCCAGATTAGCTGGCTATCCCTTTCTACCCCCAGCAAAGGGCTGCTACTAGAGGATTCTGCTTAAAGTTTGTCCTCCTTGTAAGGGTTGCTGACATTTTGGAGTATCCTGCACCCTCATCCCTCCCCTCTCTTGCTTGAGTTCTGCAGTAAATCAACAAAATGACATTCCCTAGAGGAAGCCCCCTTTCACACAGCAGATTCCGTTCTGATCACCAAAGGATCAGCTCGCAGATCCCCTGCTGATTGGAGAAGAGCGGGCGGATAACACATCCATGTCCACTCAGTTTCTGCAAAGCAAAGACACATACAGAACCCACTCTGCCCTATGGGCAGCTGGGAGTAAACACCTGACTGTCCTCCGATTTTCTCCCCTTATGTTTGTTTTTTTTTTAATGGATTGGAAATGGAGGTACACGGGTGTAAACGGACACAAGCCCATTTACATCCACCTGTCCATAGGAATGCACGGACATTTTGATCAGGTCTGCCTGTCAGTTTTTCAGCCCATGTGAAAGGGACCTGAGCCTGTGTTGTTGTACTTGGAACTGGGTCTGGCAGCCTCTTAACTAGCAAAGGAGACCTGGAGTAATCTACAGCGCCCCCTACAGGGGTGAGCACTACATTTTATTCCCACCTAATATGTATCTTACTCTGCTCTACGCCATAGACAGCTATTCAAACTTACACTATATTGCCAAAAGTATCGGGACGCCTGCCTTTACAGTATATGAACTTCAATGGCATCCCAGTCTTAGTCCGTAGGGTTCAATATTGAGTTGGCCCACCCCTCACAGCTATAACAGCTTCAACTCTTCTGGGAAGACCGTCCACAAGGTTTAGGAGTGTGTCTATGGGAAGAATTGACCATTCTTCCAGAAGTACATTTGTGAGGTCAGGATTGCCAGACAGAGAAGTGTAATTCGTCACTCCAGAGAACACGTCTCCACTGCTCTAGAGTCCAGTGGCAGGTGTGCTTTACACCACTGCATCCAACGCTTTGCATTGCACTTGGAGATGTAAGGCTTGGATGCAGCTGCTCGGCCATGGAAACCCATTCCATGGAGCTCTCTACACAGTGTTGTTGTGCTAATCTGAAGGCCACATGAAGTTTGGAGGTCTTTAATTATTGACTCTGCAGACAGTTGGCGACTTCTGTGCACTTCAGCATGCACCAACCCCGCTCTGTCATGTTACGTGGCCTACCACTTCGTGGCTGAGTTGCTGTTGTTCCCAGTTGTTTCTATTTTGTTATAATACCACTAACAGTTGCTTGGCCCCACCCCCCCCTACTCCCTCCCCAATGGCTGTGATTGACAGCAGTGAAAGCCAATGGCTCCCACTGCTGTCTCTAAGCCAGTTAGGAAGGAGATAGAGCTGAGAGAGCCTCAGCTGTCGGCATAGGGAAGTATTAGGGGGGCTGGAATGCATGAAGATAAAAAAAAGCCTGCCTTTACGGTCACTTTAATGCTGCCATACATGGAATGAATTTGGTTGGATTCATGCTAATAGGCCAAAATTTAACCTGTGGGTGCTCCTATCAAGTGGAAAATTGTCAGCTGAACAGTGCCTGCATCCAACTGGATACAGGCACGATTCATGTATTCTGGTAGCAACTGTGAGAATACAATAACTGGCAGGGAAAATTCCTCCCTGCACACTGTTTAGATTTTTTTCTATCATATTTGTGATTTCAACTGGTTGAAATTCATGGAAAATTGCCAAGTGTATAGCCAGCTTTATGGTTATCCTGTGCCTTCAATGCAGCACAGATCCCACCAGTGTCAGAGGACCATCTATGTTGCACATGAAAGCACGTGTTTTGGTTAGAAGAGAGGCAATAATGCAGCCATCCAAAAACATGCTGGGATTTGTGGTTCCTCTGCAGTTCATCCCGTCCCTGTCTTGATTTAGCACATTATGCCAGCTAGGACAGACTGTGCTTTTGTCCACAAGGGGGCACCCATGACCAACCCACCACGTTCTGCATCAATCTGATGGAAAGCAACTAAAGAGCAAAGTCATAACTCTAATGTGTTTATCTCCAGTAAACAATACAATATGGACATGTTATTTCCTATTAAGAATTCCTTTGTTTGTGTTTGTCATTATGTCTCACAGGCAGTAGATTGTTGCTCTGCAGGACAATAGTCGCCATTGTTTCTCCTCTAGCTAGATGTGCATTTAATGTGCCATTGAAGGTACGCAGGTTCATAAAGGGCTAAATGGCTACTGGACTGTGTGCCGGGGGAGGACAAAACATTCCAGAGAAGGCTGTTCATTATTAGTGCAGAAAAATAATAGCAAAATGGACTATGTGGTGTCATGACGAGGGCCAGAACCCAGGGCTCTAAAGCTGGCCACACGTGTGCAAATCATCTCGACTTTCACTTGATATTCAGTAAATTAAAAAAAAAAAAAATCATATTTTCTGGCCACTGAAGTTAATCTGGTTTTAAATCCCAAAGCAAACATTTATTATATTGCAGCTTACCAATTCTTACAAGTGATGACTGCATTAGTTTTCTTTTTTAGACTTTATTCTATTTTCATCTGGTGATTCAGCCAAGAGTTCATTCTTTTTCAAAAGCACAAGCTCTCCAGCACAATGCATCAGTTTACATAGATGAGACAAACCATGCAACACCGGCAGGGGTGAATAAAACAATCAGCCTTTATTTATTCATATGAAAACTTTATAACAAAAAGGAAAAAAAAATTGCTGTAACTGACTGTAAAGTGTGAGTTTGGCTTCAGTTTGTTAGTGTATTTAAATCTGTTAATGCATATATCATTATCCTCTCCCACAGAATGACAATGCTGTTGTCTGCTGTGTCTCCTGTGCTCCTTCATCCAGACAGGGGGCACTCTATACAGGCGGGGTGTTACTGGCCAGATCAACAGGTGAAAACAGAGGGAAGAAAAAACAAAAAAGAAAACTAATACAGCCACCACATCTAATGATTGGTAAGCTGCAATATAATACATTTTTGGTTTGGGGTTTAATATCGCTTTAATGAAACTTTGATCTGATGGTTTGACGGCTTTTCTGTTTTCAGTCACCTTTTATGCATTTGCACTGATTCTTTTGGGCTCGTTTACACTTGAGGTTGAGGAGGGGGGGGGGTGTAAATATTCATGGTTGAGCTATATTTTTACTGCCTTCTAAAGGCTCCCACCTAAGCTGCATAGGCAGCCATACAGATTGCAAAGCAATCTGGTGCAGAAAAATTATCCCCACTGTCACATTAGGTAGAAAGTACTTTTTTTCAGCATGGCATAATATTTTCCTGATGCAATAAGGTGGGAACGGTGGGAGGTACCCTTTTCCTCCACAGTGGAATCAGGCCAGGTTTACCTGGCTTATCCCTGGTTTGATTGGAGGGCTCTTCCTAGGTTCTAATGCCTTCCATATTTGCAATTGTCTTGCCTGAGGCACAAGTAGCTCCCCGCAAGGCCAGGACAAAGAGTGGCCTGTGGAGGGGGCTGCCCTGGGTGTAATGATTTGTAACTGAAGGAAGGAGCTTCCATTCCTACAGTAAGAGCTGGGAGGCGATGCAGGCCGTGTTCTCTCTTCCCTGCTTTCTTCCTGCCACTGCAGTACTCCTGTATTCAGAAGCCAGTTGGTAGTTTGGTATCTTTACCTTGGGTGCTGGATCACCTTGTCCCAATACTGGTTCCTGGTGATGTCCCACCTGGAGGGGCTGCACCACACCATTGTTGTCTCAATGGCACTAGGTCATGTCAACGTATGCTTTTCTTGCACTATGCCCTTGCGTAGGCCTTTTGGCTAGCCAGGGCAATTCTTTACACCAGCTGAAGGGCCCACTGTGTATTGCACATGGCATCTTTTTGTATTTTTCCAGGAGCAGTTACACTGCACGTATATTGTTTTTTTGCACAGAAACAGATGCCCCTGGTACCTTTATCATAGGCTTTTTTGAGTTTGGGCAAGGACACAGGGGCCCCATGATCCCCTATTGCCCGGGGCCCCATGAGTTGTCAGTCCGACCCTGGACCACACGACAACAGTAGTGCATACACTACTTTATAAAATGCACAGGAATCAGATAAGATGATATTACTATACCACACAATCGCACTATGTTTGAGACCTGCATTTGGGGTGTCATTAACATTGACTGCTACAGATCACAACTGCAGTGTGTTTTGAACGCAGTGTGGGAAACGCTCACAAAACACAGGTTTCCCATACCACGTTCTGATGTGGACTGGCCTTAAAGAGTATCTTTTCCTTTCTGCATATCACATAAAAGGGTTCAAACATCACCAAGTTTTTATAGCTCTGTCTTGGTGGGGAAATTTCCCTTCATTTCTGATACACCAGAACAGGTGTCCCCATGGTAAAATTACTACATTATCCAATTCTGGTGACAGGTGTAACATTTTCCTTTTCCAATTTCCTTTTTTTCCCTCATGAAAATCGTCATCAGGACAAAAAGAGAAGGTCCCAACGGGACAGCAATAAAGACCTGAAAGAGGTCCTATCAATTGTCCAAGCATATTGGAAACATCCCTTACAGGTGCAGTTCTTTGGTTCTCCTTCATAATAAGTTATATAGTCTATACCAGCCATTATCAACCAGGGTTCTATGGAAGCCCAGAGTTCTTCCGGAGGTTGCTAGGGGTTCCTTGAGTTGTGGCTGATTGCCCTACCATTAGATAGTGCCTGCAAAGTTTGGGGGCCAATGCTACTTGACAAAGTCATCAACACCAATGATTTTTTAGCTGTCTCTAAGGGTGGCATTCTGCTTACTGACCGCCAATGTAAGGGGCATTTTTTTCCACTGACCTCTGAAGAATTGGTTTTAGCAAGAGTTCCCTGAGACCTGAAATTATTCCAACGGTTTCTCTAGGGTAAAAAGTCTGGTATATATTGTACAGAAAAAAAATATCTAAATTGAGCCTTTATTGTGCTATGATCTGGTAGCCAGACCCAAAAGGAACTTACGCCACTTCGTTGAGATAAGAAAACAGCTCCAACGAACTCTGATGCCGCGTACCATCCTTCGTATTGGTGACTTGCACGGGGACACCTGTAACAAAAGATAAGCGCAGACATAACATGTGGGCACTCATGGAAGGGGGGGGGGGGGATAGACATAGGAACCCCATGGGGAACCAAGCACTTTTCAGCAATTGTAAAGGAGCTTCTAACACAACACACGGCATTAAATGGATGAGACAGTTATGAACTCTAAGTAACTTCTTAAGTATCAAGAGGTGCTGGAGGGTGGGGAGCAGGGGACAGATTCAGGCCAAAATAGAAAACGGCAATAAAAATAAGCCCCCCATCCCACTGCTGTCTCCTCTGTCGCCCTGTCTTTTCATTTCATACACTGTGAAATTGCAACCAGCACCATTGCTAATTACATTTCACGCTCTGCCATTGTCTTATGGCCAAGCACCTTCTGTCCCACACCACTCGGAGATTTGAGCCTGACAAATGGGAACGAGGGGAAGGAGGGGGGGAGCTGGTGGCCCAATTGCACGGTAAAGGCTTTGGCTGCCCACCCTCCCATAATGTCTGTTTCAAAGGGCGCCAAGCAAGTTCTGTGGCTGTCACGGCTCAGGAAAAAAAAAAAAAAGGGGTCTGCTCTCATCAGCGAGAAGTTAAATCCGCCCGGCCAAAAGGAGACCCTATGAATTAATTATTACACCTTCTACAAAACAGGGTGTGGTGATCGGATTGGGGCAGAGGGGGAGAGCAATGGGGAGGGGGGGATTTTGGTATGGAAAAGGCTACGGGTGGGAGGGAGAGGACAGACTATGAAAAGAATGAGGTTATTATTCTTTTTCAAACTGAAATGAGCAATAAATGTATTAGCAATCTGACAAGGAGTTGTTCTACCACAAAGAAGAGCTGGGCCCTGGGTTTGCTACTTAATCTTTCCCCATCTGTTCCCCCTATTAGCATTGATTGCACTATTCACTGCCAATCAACTCTTAACAGACCACTTTCACTCTCTTTTTGCTATTAAATGTAATTCTTTGCAATAATGAACTTTAAGCCCCCTTTCGTCAATCTGGAGATCCTATTTATTTTTAAAGGGTTTTTTTTTTTTTTTGTTTCTTCCTACCGTGTGGACTGGATCCCGCTCGTCACTTTTTGCGCTCTGCTCCCTGATCCGCAGCTTATAGGTTTCAAATAGTCAATAATTAGATTAGAACTTCAAATAAATGAAGTGAGGGTTGAATAGAGAGTTTGATGGACTAGGCTGAATGGGACTGTCATTGTCCTCTTATGAGATGATGACCGGATTTTAATTTCCTAGGGGTATTCCGTAACAATGCCATGAGTCGCCACAATGCCACGTGTAAATAAGTTGCTATATGTTTGTAGCCGGGTGGCGGGCCTGCTGGCAGCTGCAAGGCATCGTTTTAAAAATCATTGCTTGTAGGGACTTTTTCAAAGGAAACGCAACTTAGAGGATCTATTATTCTGGAACAGAAAACAATGAGATTTTGGCTGTTAGGTAGAAAGATTTAATATTTGGATGATTTTTAAAGGGTTGCAGAGTTCTGTACAGATGCTATGTCTTTTCTTCCAACTTTTCTAGTCAAGTGGTTTTCCAAAAAGACAACTATTTATCAATTTACAGTATATACACCATTATACACTCAAAACGAGGACTGCAACCGCATCAGATACAGCTATCTGGGAAACTGTACAATAGCAGAACCTGGCTGGAGATGTCTTCAAGATTTCTCCTCTTTGTCTGAACATGCATTAGTTAGGAGATTCAAGTGGTCATTATACAAAAGTACTTGCACACCCCAAAAAAACATCTATTGTTTATTGCTCACTTTGCAAAAAATTGTGCTGGAGAAGGTAAGAGTGGTGGTGTAACCTGTCACAACCACTTTGACAATATTCTTTTACGTCCCATACCAAGACCCTTAGGGTGATATTGCCCATCAGGTCACCAAAAAAGACAAGGGCAATCTTTGTGACTGGAGGAAAGGAGGCTCAAAGGAGCTTTGTTAGAAAAAGTTTCTATACTCTAAGATGTGAATTTGTCCTCCACAAGAGTTGGTTCTAGCTGACTCAGTAGATCGTGTCAAAAAAGGGCCTGGCTGATGGTTCTATTTCCAAAAAAAAGGCAACTAAAATTTTTAAGGATTCATGCACATGGCCAAACAGGGGCTGTACAATGTGCAGAGCCTGCGTAATGATGTTCCTGGGGCCTGCTACCGCTGTGAATCCATCGAAATGCATTAGGAGAAGCAGCTATAGACACATGTTCATTGACATGCACACTATCTGCATTTGGAGCATACATCAGTGCCTTGGAGCACAGCTGCATACAACTTCCTTTTTTATTCCATTTCAATGGGTAGCTACACTACATTGCCAAAAGATTTGGAATGCCAACCTTTACACGCACATGAACTTTAATGGCATCCCAGTCCATAGGGTTCAATATTGAGTCAGTCCGCCATTGTAGCTATAACAGCTTCAACTCTTCTGGGAAGGCTGTCCACAAGGTTTAGGAGTGTGTCTATGGGAAGTACATTTGTGAGGTTAGGCACTGATGTCAGACCAGAAGTCTCTGCTATAATTCATCCCAAAGGTGTTCTATTGGGTTGAGGTCAGGACTCTTTGCAGGCCAGTCAAGTTCCTCCACCCCAAACTCGCTCATCCATGTCTTTTTATATCTTGCTTTATGCACTGGTGCACAGTCATGTTGGGGCCAAACTGTTCTCACAAAGTTGGGAGCATGAAATTGTCTAAAATGTCTTGGTGTGTTGACACCTTAAGAGTTCCCTTTCCTGGAACTAAGGGGCCAATCCCAACCACTGAAAAACAACCCCACACCATAATCCCCCCTCCACCAAACTTTACACTTCGCACAATGCAGTCAGGCAGGTACTGTTCTCCTGGCAACCACCAAACCCAGACACGGCCATCGGATTGCCAGACAGAGAAGCTTGATTCGTCACTCCAGAGAACACGTCTCCACTGCTCTAGAGTCCAGTGGTGGCGTGCTTTACACCACTGCATCCAACGCTTTGCATTGCACTTGGTGATGTAAAGCTTGGGCTTGGATGCAGCTGCTTAGCCATGGAAGCTCTCTACGCACTGTTGTTGTGCTAATCTGAAGGCCACATGAAGTTTGGAGGTTTTTAGGTATTGCAGACATTTGGCGACTTCTGCGCACTGTGCATTTCAGCATGAGCGGACCCCGCTCTGCCATTTTATGTGGCCTACTACTTTGTGGTCGAGTTGCTGTTGTTACCAGTTGCTTACACTTTGTTATAATATCACTAACAGTTGACTGTGGAATATTTAGTAGCCAGGAAATGTCACGGATGGACTTATTGCACAGGTGGCAACCTATCACGGAACCACACTTGAATTCACTGAGCTCCTGAGAGCGACCCATTCTTTCACAAAATGTTTGTAGAAGCAGTCTGCATACCTAGGTGCTTGATTTTATACACCTGTGACAATGGAGGTGATTGGAACACCTGAATCCAATGGTTTGGCCGGGTGTCCCAATACTTTTGGCAATATAGTGTATATGCAACTGGAGTGTCATTAGGCATGTTCTGCTTGCTGTATGACCCTGTACAGTCATGAGCATGATAAATTTTTACCTGTCGCAGCAAATTGAATCAGGATTTGTAAGGTTCTTTTTGCCTTCTTCAAGATCAACTGTGGTTTTAGGATTGGTTTTTAAAATTCGATGAACATGCACTGTTTTTTAGTGACAATCTCAAGTGTAAAGGATGCCCTGACCCTTCAGGTTGGGCACAGTTGGAGGGAGCAGTCAATCGGGCAGGTCAGAAAATCATACCCAATTGCTTTTTTTCCCCCACTAGCTAAGTGACACCATCAGCTACCAACACCATCTCCTTTCCCATTCCACTGCATACCAACAGATACAATACTCAGCCCAGCTGTTATATTTCTGAGCCCGCTAGATGATCCTGTTGTATGCATGCAGGTATTGACCACCCTCATAGGTCTAGAGGCAGCTTTGGCATAGTGAGGATGTGCAAACTGAAGGATCCAAAAGTAATCCACCTTGAAGCTTTACCTAACAATTCTAGGGAATGAGTGAAATCGGCCAGTGACCTGCTTTAACAAATGCCGCTTCTGTGCTAAATTGGAAAGCCCACCCTATACACCCTAATTTGTATTATCTGACATTTGCAGCAGCAAGATTTCAGACAGGACCTCACCCCTATGTAATTAAATCCAGACAAGCAATGTCTGGATCTAATTACTGGTTGTGAGGCTTTTAACCTTACAGCTTTGATATATTGGGATATGTGAAAGACAGAAAGGAACTTCTAGTGGGTGTTCTTGGGAATAGCTCCCCAACATCGCAAATCAGTGAACAAAAGGGGTTCCTAAACTAGTACATCTGATGAAAGAGATAGTGGTGCACTTGTGTACTAAAGCAATTTATGAAGCACAGAGTGGGTGGGTAACATTCATTGTATGCATTCCAAGTCTTAATTTTCAGTTCTCAATGGTCTCTACCTTTAGGCTAGGTTCACACCAATGCAGCTTGCGTTTGATCTGTTTCTGCAGTGCTTTTTGCAGTCCATTTTGCATTTTTGCACATGCGTTTGATGCGTTTTGCTTTTTTTAAATGGACTGTAGTGCGTTTCTGCAAAATGCAAAACGTACCGCAAAACGCTTAGGTGTGAACCTAGAGTAACACCAGGAGATCACCAGCAGGTACAAATGTGAGTGAAATCCACACTCAACTACCCTTTTCTACTGAACACTTTCCCCGTTTCTTCACAGTAATTTCCTGGCAAGAATGCGAAAAAGTTAAAGAACAGATTGTTATCGGTGGATGGACATTGGGTCACAAGGAACCTGTTTTAGTGTTTCATAATTTCTTTAAACCGAAGTCAGGACAAACTGGCCAAAGGTACAATCAAAGTGCCTATGTCCATCCTGACAGATGAACATGTATAGAAAGACATTTAACTCAAACAGGACTTTAAAGCAGACCAATGAAATAAATAACTTCTGTCCATCTAGACCACCATGTCAATTTATGTTGTAAGCTAGAGCTTTGAGGTCTGTTTATTAGTTTAAGTGTAGACCACCATGTACCCTTACAAGCATGAATGACAAACAAGCCCTGCAATATGTACTTGCCTTGTCATAGCCGCCCTAGGCTTTAAAACGTTTACTAAACCCACAACAGTAAAATCAGTCTGGGGGTTAATCTTCCACATTGTGTAAAAAGGCTGTTTGATCCTGTCTTCTCTGCTCCCCTGCTTCAACAGTCCCCCATAGATAGATAGATGATAGAACAGAGCCTGGGGGGCAAGATGCACATATTGGTGTGTATTTCTAGAGAGTTTTTATTCTTTCTTCGGAGAGTACATGTGATCAGCACAGGGCCAATCAGCACTGTCCACACAGAGGATCAGTGGTCATGCAGCCTCATCAATCAGGCGAGAATGAAAACTCCTGCTACAAGCTTTAACCAGTGCTCTGCTGGACACTGATAGAAGTCACAAGACTGCTCTGACTGCTGATGAGAAAAGGTATTTAGCAGTTTATATTCACTGAAATAATTGCGTTTCCATGTTGTGTGTACTATGGGAGACCAGATATAGTGAATGCAGGGTCCGGGGTTTAGTAACACTTTAAGGGCAGCCAGACATGTGATCATATGCCTTGGCTGTCGGTCACACAGCTAAAAGGCAGAATCAATGTTTATGTAGATGACTTTTCACTTTAGTACTATTAAAGCGGAGTTCCACCCAAAAGGGGAAGTTCCGCTTTAAAGATTGGTCCCTCGCTCCCCATTAAGGATTGGCACCTTTGGGGAGTGGAGGGGGGAACGGGTATCCAAATTTGACAGATACCTGCTCCCACTTCCGATGCGATTGCCTAGGCGATCAGAAACAAAAGTTGTCCTCCACCCCCTCCCTCCCCGAAGTTTTGAGGGACACGTGATAGGTCCCAGAAGACGACAGGGTCATTCAGGAAGCTCAGTGCTACTCGCGCATGCTCAGTGGGCACCCGGCTGTGATGCCGCAAGCTGTCACAGCCGTTTGCCCACACTGAAAATGCTGACCTCCTGGAATATAGGGCGGCAGGTGAAACGGGCTGCGGCAGGGGCAACGCGGGATTGTAGGACAGGCGAGTGGCTGTTTTTTAAAAGTCAGCAACTACAGTTTTTGTAGCTGCTGACTTATTTTTTTACAGAGTGAGTGGAACTCCGCTTTAAGTATACACAGAAAGTCTTGCATCTCACACAGACCATGGTCTGTGCCATTTATAACTACTAAATGTAATTCTTGCCATGCAGGTCAGTTGTTTCTGTCAAATTAACATTGCTTTTTATTATGTTATACATGATTTTACATGCTTACCATTCTTGAACTCGATTTCTAAAATGTCTGGGGTGTTAGGGGCTGTTGCAGGATCTTTCGTTTTCAAAAACAGACCATCTGGAGCATGTTTCTGGAAAAAAATAGATAGCAGTGAAATATAGTATAGTAGAGGTGTGTAATTACGATATAAAATGCAGGACAACATATAGATATATAGAAGACATGAGGAATATTTTATACATGAAGCATACATTGGCAACAACTTTATGCAGAAGAAACAAAACAGATGCCAGGAAGAGTCAGAATTAGGTGGACAGACAGAAGGAGCAATGGTACGGTCAGGCCCGGAATAACGTAGGGGCTATTGGAGCTACAGCTCCAGGCCCCTATCTTAATATAGGTCCAGCCGCCCAAAAAGAACAGACCGCAGCTAATTTGTGCCTCTAACACCTCGTCTCGGTTCTCTCTCTCACTACAGCTGACAAACTCTACCCACCATCTCTAGAACCGGAGCACTGCCCCGAAAATTAAATATAAGCAGAGATTCCTTGGCACTTCCTGATTTGCTAAAAGTTCTTTGGGGGTGGTGCTCTGAAGTTGGTGGGCGGGGGTTTGTCAGTTACAGTGAGAGAAGCTGGACCGAGCGCTGTAGGGAGAAATAGGAGTTAATGGGGCGCAGACTAGGCAGAAATTAGGCGCTAATGGGAAGCAGGGCGGGGGCAGTAGATGGGGTGCATGTCTGGTGCCCCACCAGCACCTATTTGCTCATTTATGCCATGCTTGTCCCCCCAAACACCCCGTTCTGCATCCCCCACTTTCAGTGTCTGGCAAACTCTGCTCACCACCCCTAGAAGCCGAACGCTTTACCTGGGAGAGAATATGGGTGGAGATTAGATTAGACTTTGCCAAAAAAACATCTAAAAAGCCAGACCAATTCTGGAAAAACATTCTTTGGACGGATGAAACTAAGATTAATCTGTACCAGAATGACGGGAAGAAAAAAGTGTGGAGAAGGCTTGGAACAGCTCATGATCCAAAGCACACAACATCATCTGTGAAAGATGGTGGAGGCAGTGTGATGGCATGGGAATGCATGGCTTCCAGTGGCACAGGGTAATTGGTGTTTATTGATGATGTGACAGAAGACAGAAGCAGCCAGATGAATTCTGCAGTGTTTAGAGATATACTGTCAGCCCAGATTCAGCCAAATGCAGCAAAGTTGATAGGACGGTGCTTCACAGTACAGATGGACAATGATCCAAAAACACACTGCAGAAGCAACCCAGGAGCTTTTGAAGGAAAAGAAGTGGAATATTCTGCAATGGCCAAGTCAATCACCTTATCTCAACCCAACTGAGCATGCATTTCACTTGCTGAAGGCAAAACTAAAGGCAGAAAGACCCACAAAGAACAACTGAAGACAGCTGCAGTTAGAGCCTGGCAAAGCATCAGAAAGGAGGAAACCCAGTCTCTGGTAATGTCCATGGGTTCCAGACTTCAGGCAGTCATTGCCAGTAAAGGATTCTCAACAAAATATTAAAAATGAACATTTTATTTATGATTATATTCATTTGTCCAATTACTTTTGGTCCCTTAAAAAAGAGGGGGTGGCTACTCTTAAGAGCTGCAATTCCTAAACCCTTCCTCCAATTTGGATGTTCATACCCTCAAATTAAACCGAAGAGTGTGCACTTTCAGCCCATAGTCATTATATAACTATAGCTTGAACATGTTTTGTTAAATACCTGAAAAAATCTAAACTTTTGCCTGTGTCCAAATATATATGGACCTAACTGTATATGAGGAGGCAGAAAAAGGCAGAAAAAGACAAAAAAAAAAAAGGCAGGAGGCAGTTGACAAAAAAGTAAGATACAGGTAGACAGACTCTAGAAAATGGAAGAGAGATAGGGAGAAGGGAAAAGTATGAGAAGAGAGACAGACAAAATGGAAGGAAATTGGAGGATAGAGGCAGTAGACTAGGAAGAAAATGTATGAGGGGGGAAAATGTTAGACAAGAAAGGAAAGGAAGGAGGAAGTAGACAATGAAGGAAAGGAGGGAGGAAGTAGACAAGGAGGGAAAGTTATGAGGAGGGAGATTGTAGACAATGAAGAAAAGGAGGAAGTAAACAAGGAGGGAAAGTTATGAGGAGGGAGATTGTAGACAAGGAAGGAAAGGTACGAGCAGGTATGAAGTAGAGAAGGACAGAAAGCTATGAGGAGGGAGGCAGTAGAGAAGAAAGGAAAGGTATGAGAAGGGAGGAAGTAGACAAGGAAGGAAAGGTACGAGGAGAGAGGAAGTAGACAAGGAAGGAAAGGTAGGAGGAGGGATGAAGTAGACAAGGAAGGAAAGGTATGAGGAAGTCAACAGAGATGGAAAGGTACAAGAAAGGAGGCAGTGGACAAGGAAGGAAAATTAAAGGGGGAGACAACAAAGAAGGGAGGAGTCTGTAGATTGGTAAAAAAAAAAAAAAAAAAAAAAAAATGATATACGTAGGATGACAGAAGACAAAAATGAAAAAAAGGTAAGAAAGGAAAGGTATTAGGAAGAAAGAAGTATATAAAGAAGGAAAGGTATGCTGAAGGAGAGAACAGAAATGGGAGAAAGTTATCTGTAGGCAGACAATACACATGGAAAGGTGCCAAAAGCAGACAATTGTCAAAGATGTAAAGCTATTTAATGGTCAGACTGCATACAAGAATTGAGAGACTAGTCGACTACTGTCAAGAACAGAATGATACAAAATAGAAAATAAGTAGGGGACATACAGGCTGGACAGTAACCTTGCACATATGATGATGTTTCAACGAGGAGATTTTGGGGGAACACGCATATTTTCTTGCTGGTGGTGAGTGGCAACTGATATGGCGTTTTGAATTTTTCTGCTGTAGTTTTTGTCTCTCCCAAGTCATAATGACGGTGTCCCTTCATCACAGCTGGATTTCCTGTTTGTTTATTCTACATTATAGAACACCCATGGTGGGAGTGTGACCCCAAACTTTGGCTTTGTAAGGACCATGCTACTTGAGCAGTCCTAGGAATTCCACTTAACATACTTCTCCTGCAGCCTATAATATCTATAAGAAGCCAGCAAATTAGTTAGAACTGAATTGCAAGTAAATATAAAATGTAACTTTTCTATGTACTGAATTTAAGATATCCTTTACTTCATTATGAGTTTGGCTGAAAGGAAGAGGCATCGCTGTAAGCCGATAATCAGGCTTTACTAAACTACACAGTGACTTGGCTTATTGGAGAGGAGGAAACCAGGCTAAAATGCTGCTGCTCCTTCACTATCCAATCACAGGTAGGGATGGTCTTTGACCAAGCGGTGTTACTTTAACCACAATAAGGGAAAATAAGGTCAACACATGGATGTCTGTAGTAGAAAAACTAGCTGAGAATTGCAAATAACTAGCAAGGTAAAACAGTTCATACTTGTGTACTTCAATTTCTGCTTTAACTTGCCTGGCACTGCACAAAACTAAAATATCACTTCTGGGTGGAGTTACCATTTAACAGCCCTTTATTTCCACTTACGGCTTTAATCTTTCTGAGAAGCTCAGGTTTATTTAGAGACTGCCAGAAAAGTCTGACTAGGTCCGTAGCAAAATAAATTCCAGAATCTGGCAGATATAAGGTTTCTGCATAAAGATGGGGCTCTCTATACTGCACACTAGTTTATTCTGCAAAGATGGAGAAAGAAATGGGGCTGGGTGACCCCAGCAGGTGCTCCGCTGGAACGCACTCGTACAGTGTCCCCAAGGTTAATACATCCAGGGGAGCTGAGAGGAACAAAGCTAAAACTCATCTAAAAACGCATCAGCCTAATTCCAGCCTTGGCAGAGTTACAATGAAGAGGCGCCTTTATGGAGCACTCATCAATCATGGCCTTTCTGGGTTAGTGGCTAAAATCCGCTTTGGCCCATTTGATTGCCTGCTGTCCCTGACTTGTGGGCGTACTAATGCTTGTCAATCAATGCGGTACCCAGCTTTCTCTGCATGGCCTGCTATGAATTCTGAAGACACCTACTGTATGCTATGGGCAGGGTGCCTCCTGACAAATGCTCAGTTAGCAATGCTAGTAGCTGCATAACGGCTGACGCAGGATGTAGGAGGAAAAGGGTCAGGCCCGTGGACTCAGAGAACTGCAAAAATCATATTTTACATTTAGTATAATCACCAATTTTATTGACTTTACTCTCAGAGGAGATCTCCAGATCTAAACAAAAAACTTTTTTTTTTGTTGTATCTTGTGCTTTAATTATATAATGATGAAGAACATTTTTTCTCACACCGCTGCTCATAGTTTCAAAAATATTGATGTGAGCTTTACAAGAAAAGATATGGACCCAGTGCACACTCCCCTCTCTCTCTCTCTTCTCCCCCTCTCTCTCTCTCTCTCTCTCTCTCTCTCTCTCCCCTCTCTCTCTCTCTCTCTCTCTCTCTCTCTCTCTCTCTCTCTCTCTCTCTCTCTCTCTCTCTCTCTCTCTCTCTCTCTCTCTCTCTCTCTCTCTCTCTCTCTCTCTCTCTCTCTCTCTCTCCTCTCTCTCTCTCTCTCTCTCTCTCTCTCTCTCTCTCTCTCTCTCTCTCTCTCTCTCTCTCTCTCTCTCTCTCTCTCTCTCTCTCTCTCTCTCTCTCTCTCTCCTACAGCTGCAAGCTCCTGGTGTTTTCCAATGCCAGGTCTCTAAATATACCTTATTAAGCTGGATAAATAATTGAGCTGATTTCTCAAAACACAGAGAAAGGAATCTAAAATCTGTGAGCAGCTTTTTGCTATCGCAGAAGAGACACAATGGGGTTGATTGTTAGTAAGAATGTTTATGGTGTAACACTACCAACCCAGTGCTATTGTGCTACCAATGTTATAAAAAGGTAAAGAAAAAATTAAATATGGAAAAAAAGGATTTTTAAAACAAAAATTGTGTGAACTATAGTGCACCTCCTCGCTCCTCGGTCCGTAAAAATGTTTATGGTGTACCGCTACCAAACCCCATTTTCCTCGCACATTAATTGAATATCCTTTTGCATAGTGAATGTTCACCATGTTTATTAAGTTCAGGGAAAACTCTCTTGCAAAGTGAACAGCCTTTTTTACCTTTAGTCAATCATCTGCAATAAACGATTATCACCTTCCTCCTAGCAAATGCTTTGCATGAGTTCCTTAGTGTACAATTACAGAATCTGCAGGGTGATGGAATGAATAAAGTGATTTTTTTTTTTTTCTTACTAAAAAAGCGGTCATACTTACCTGCTCTGAGCAACTATATTGCACAGAAAGCACCGTCTTCTGCTCTTCTGGCAGTCTCCTGCCTGCACGGTCACCTTCTCCCTGCTCTGGATGCCTCCTTAGCAAGCTGTGCATGTGTGCTCCTGAGCCGGGTTGATTGAGTCACAAGAGTATGACAGAGAACAGTAGAAGCCTATGGTTTCCACTGCTGTCAGTGTCTCCTGTGAGAAGGAGAAGGTGACAAGACAGTGCAGGAACAGTAAAGCCGGTCATAGACGGTTCAAATCTCAGCCGGCTTAGCAGGACTGGCTAAGATTGAGATCATATATGGACAGGCTGACTGTACCTAATTTGATTGTTGTATGACTTGGGTACAACCAGCCTGTTGGATTTTCACATGCGGTAATCACAGTGTTATCCCGGCCGGGACAGCTCCCTGTGCCCCCCCAGAAGGGATTCAACCATCAACACAGTCAGCACTTGCAGGAAAGAATACTGAATAGTCTGTAATGTACAGCGCTGAGCGAACTATTGGCGCTTTATAAATACTGTATAATAATAATAATAATAATAGTCTATGGCCTCCCTAAGGGGAGTCAGGTAAGTGTTTAGGAATGGGGGGGGGGGTACCTTAATGCAAAGAATGCATTACGGTAAAAAAAACGGTCAACTTCAGAACCACTTTAACTCCTGTGCACGTGCAGGTGTTACATCACCTCAACCATGTCAATCAAGATGGCTGAAGATCTCAAGAAGATGGCAAGGGAGCTTGTGGATGAGCAATTACTAGATCAGAGGTGAGTATAATTCCATTTTACGTGTTACAACCTGGTCCAGGACACTCCCTAACCTGGGATAGAACATTAAAGGAGCAACTGGCTACTTGCTTAGACTGTTGCCCCCAGGCTAAGCCTTGCTGTACAGGGGATTGCAAGAGGCCAAATTTAAATTCAGATATTATTGCTAATTTACGGTGAGATAATAGGAGCATTGGCTTGCCATACTCACACTCATGTCAAAGTTGTGCCAGTCCAATTCAGGAACAAAAAAAAAGAAAGTCTCTCTACAAAAGCCTTTCTTCATGTGCTCTTTATTGGATGCTTTTTTTGATGCAATAGTGAAGGTACAGACACTGCATGGCTCCTACTGATTACAATAGAACAATGCAGGACAAGACAATAGATTATCTGAAATACTCTTACCTTTATTTTGCTTTCCCACCTTCAATTTACACCCCAAGAGAGACAGCCCATTATTAGTTCTTTTTAAATGCTCCATTTGAAGCTTACAGAATGTAAAGGGCTCTCCCCACCACCATGTGACAGTGTTGGCCCAATTGCCAGTTCTGTCACATAGAATGAATCACATGCTCCTTCTACCCAAAAGTACCAGCTAGTTTTTTCTCCCCTGGTGACTAAATGAAAATGAAGGGAAGGGAGCAAGTGCAGCTTGTTGACAAAGCGCCCATGCCATCAGGATAAGCACAGACAACAAATTATTCGGTTGTCTGGTTTAGGAGTTGAGCCTGTTAATGGTTTCTTTTTACAAGACCCCTCAAGCTCTGTCATTAGAAACAACCACAAAAAAACACATTTTTGTTTAGTAACCATCTACTGCTTCCTATTTGTTTCAGCATTGGGCTCCAAGAACCAGGGGCCCCAGAGCAAATGCTTTTGAACAGTACTGCATACAAACAGGCAGATGGACGGGCAAGGCACTTATCCAAAACCTAAAGTTTACCACCTATTGTTCCATGCCATGTGTCAGGAAAAGCAAGAGAGAAAAGAAAAAAACTTGAACACTAGATTGGCTGGTAAGGTCAGGCTAAGTGAAAAGGGGGTCGGGTCTGCAGGGCAGCCGCAAAATATCCCAATTCAAATCTCTTTACTAAACACTGGAAATCAAAGTCACTTAGAGGCCAATTTTCAAACCTTCCACCGCTGACAACCTCTATTAAATAAAATAACCAAATAGAAATAAAGCGACAACCCGGTCTCGCCATTGCCTTTTATTGTCAGCCACTTTTTTTTTATTTTTCTTTTCAAAGCCTTCGGTTCAAATGACATGTCATCGGTGCCACTGTATCGCAGGCTTTTCCATTTATCCGGCCCGGCAGGGGGGCTGCTGCAGCGATGTCATCGAGGAAGGAACAGAGGCGGAAAAAAAAAAAAAAAAGAAGAGGAAAGAAAAAAAAATATGCAGCCAAAAATAATAATAATAATAATAAAAATAAGGGGAAAGAGTCGTAGGTGGGGGGGAAGGAGCAATAAGTAGGGGGGGAGAATGAGAGAGAAGGGGAGGAAGAAAAGAGTGTGAGAGAAAAGGGAGAGGTGGCAGCAGAGAGGGGTGAACAGATTAGCAGCAAATGGGCCATGAAGTGAATGCTAGTGTAAGGCCGCTTGTGCCGTCAATGGTTTTATTCACCCCGTTGATGTTGTTGTGTCCCGGTCTGAATGAACTCTTTCAAAGCGCCATATGAAGTTAAAGCAAGTAAATTTCTATCTTTCTAACATTAGAATGCCTCATTGCTCCTCAATCAGCTCTCATGGAGGCAGAAAATGACCCAACCATCTGTTTTTTTTTTTCCCTTTCTCTTTCTTTATAAATCCATGCAGTTGGCAGCATACGGCCTAAGAGGACAAGGTACCTGAGAAGAGAGATGCCGGGCAGAGATAGATAGATAGATAGATAGATAGATAGATAGATAGATAGATAATGATTTGCAGGGATACAGCTCTATAACTGCAGATAGGAAGAGAAATAGAGAGATGGAGAGATGATGGAAAGTTAGAGATAGACAAATAGACAGCAGTACTTAGACAAGATAAAAAGGTAGAAAAATGCTAATACTCTTAGCAGACAGATGAGCAAGATAGAGGTAGATATTTTTTAGAGATAAATCTCCAAAACGATAGATAGATAGATAGATAGATAGATAGATACTTTGAGGAATGCATCTGTAAAACTACAGATAAGGAGAAAAAAATACACAGTGTGTGTGTGTGTGTATATAAATATAACGCTTAGACTGCTTATACGTAGATACTTTTTAGAGAAAAATACCCAAAATTATAGATAGGTAGATAGATAGACCGACAGACATTTCTAAGGAAACATCTTAAAAAGGTAGTTAGTAGTGAACAAAAAAATAAAGATAGAAGTAGATTTAGAAAAATGCTCCAAAATGAATTGATAAAACAGACAAAGAGAGATAGAAAAGCCAATAGATAGACACACACTTTCCAGAAATATATCTATAATGCTTTGGCAGATAGCTTTTTCGATTGATAAATTGCAGCACAATGTGTTCCTGCTAGGGCTTCAAACTCAGGGCACAGTACCGCAAAGCATGGACACCAACAACCTTTTCACTTTGCTTCGATAAATTAAAAAATAAAAGGATTCTGATAGAAAATATTAATACTGTAATGCAAAGGCCTCATTTATCCATTAATGACAATTTCTTTTCAACTGTACATGATATTGCCTGGATCTGCCAATCAGGCCACATGTACCCAATTCTGGATAGGTACGGAAAGCTAAAGCCAGACTGGTTGCTTTGGACAACATCATTTTATATTCTCTGTCGCTCCAGACTTCATAATGAGCCTTGTAAATTTTTCTGCCGGTAGCTACAAGCTTTGAATGGAGACCAGCCCTGCATGCGCGATCTAACCACTGAACTACTGTCGTACAGATGATGTGAACCTATGGAGAGGAGCTCTGCGGGCATTAGATCTCAGTACTATTCAAACGGTTTCTCCAAGTGGGTTCCAACAGGAGGCATTGGGGGAAACCCACAGACATGCAGACATTCCCTGATCTGACCATACAAACGTTCTCCCACTGGCATCTTAACACAGCAAAGAATAACAAGTGAGGTCTAGGAAGATCTATGTGGATCTGAGTACGTTTTGCTGCATGCCGGGGTTAAACAGGCCAGCCACTTGGGCTGACAAGCTGATCAGAGACTGAAATGTTTATCATAATATTGGAACAAAGTGGATTCTTGCTTCTGCCACAGCATGGCTCATCTCCAGGCTCCTTCCCTGCCCCGCAGGCTTGTTCGCTCTGACTGATAGTGTAATTAGTGCTGACGGATCGTTTACCTAGCTCTTAGTGACTGTCAGAGCATGAAGACAATGTCTTGTTCACTCACTGGGCTGGAGGCTTCCCTGTATCTCAATGAACCACTTCATTATAGATTGTTAGCTCCCCAGGACAGAAAATGTATATTTATTTCAAGGCAATTCACAGCCTTTTCATATTTTTTTTTTTAGACAAACAAAATGGATCAGTCTGATATAAATAACTTTTTAATTATGTGTTAAATAAAAAAAATACTTTCTAAGTATAGTAGTTCATTATATACAGTTTGTACTCCTGGGCAGCCAGATTTGCTCATTACATACATATGTTTTGCTTCCCGTCTTGCAGTGCTAAGCAGTGGTTGCACTTTCTGCTCAGTCACACAATGCAAGTTTGGGAGTCAGCTAAGTCATCAAAAACAATGCACTCCCCGAGTGGCTGATAGCTAAACAGTTTCGGCAGAGAAGAGCGAGTTTTGCATTAGTGAGCTCCCTCTAGTGGCTAATCTGAAATCCTCTGCATTTATTGCAATGGCAAAAATATCATGAGCGACAGCATGAACAAATGAGAACGTTAAGGCAAACACAAAAAATAACTTAACTATGTGTTTTCTGATAACAAAGCATACTTCCCTTTTAAAAGGTAATGTAAAACCAACTTTTTTTTCTCGTTTTCCATAGAAAGGGCTCTGATAAGGCCAATGTTGGAGGTCTACACATGATCAGGTGCACAAAGCATCCATCAATTTGTAGAATTTAAATTTGGATAATAAGACTGAATTCCACACTCACCTTTGGGTTTTCCAAGATCCCACCTTCATAGCTGAAAAGAAAACAACATAGTTAAAATTAGACTTGTTGCTGCAGTTGAGTAGTATTAGACAAAATAAACCTAAGGCCTCGTTCACAATACAATGCATGGGACAATGAGCATTTTCTTTTGTTCCAAATAATTTTCAAGGTACAACAGGGGTCACAAGTTATAATTGTCACATAAAATACGATTCTGGAGGGGAAAAGGGGTAGGCAAGGATAGTGTTCCAGGCTCCAGTTATGCCATTTATTAAATGCTAGTAGTCTTGATGATGGAGGACGTGAGTGGTGTAGATCGGTGTGCACCTCCAATGGTGTGCCAACCCCTAAGGTTGTTCACTCTTATATGGCTCACCCAGTGGTTACCCAAAGAGGGTAAGTTTGCATGAGTGGCATATTGTAAAGACAACTGAAAACCTTTGGAAAAAAGGGAGTCTTGTATTTATGAAGGGGTTCAAGGGAAGAGAAGTGCTGGGGGTAAGTGTAGGATGGAGGAAGAGGTGTAGAAAGCAAGGGGAAGAAAGGAAAGGTCAAAGTGGAAGGTGGGGGGCAAAGGAACAGGCTCTTGGGGTGGAGAGTCCCGATTCTGTACAGCTGTAGACCATTAACATTTAACTAGTAATGTACAGCGCTGAGCGAACTATTGGCGCTTTATAAATACTGTATTATATAATAATAATAATAATAACTAAAGTCAACCCTTTTTTTTTTCTTAGTTTTGGATAGAGTGGAGAGGGATTAGAATACCTGTCAGTTTTTGTTGCTGTCTATGCCCCCATTAGGGAGATTCGCCCTCTCTATTTGTCCTGTTTACCATCATCAAAAGTGAAAGTAGTGAAAGAAAATCCCAAATTTTGGGTTGTCCCCAGAAAAGTAATAGAGGGGAAATCTTCCAATGGGGATACTAGTTCTGGTGACCTGGGGGGCACAAGGAATTCCCTTCATTTGCAGGGATTTCCTCTCTCTTCCTGTTTGGCTATGGGACAGGAAATAAAGGGAAATTTCTGCAATGGGATACAGATGGCAAAAAAAAAAAAAAAAAAAATCTGACAGGGGTCATAATTCTCCCTTTCTCTATCCAAAATAAAAAACTTTTGCCCATTGTTCTACTTTAAGGGTCAGAGGGGTGTAGGTTGAACATCTACAACTGTCACTTATCCTTCTGCCTATTAGAGCACTAATATACAGGTTACCCACTGGTCACCTTTCAATGCACAACAGTACAGTAAGTGGTTGTTTTATTGATGGTCATCTTGCTGGTGCATCAAGTGGAGGTCTTGTGCATGTAGCACCCTCTAGTATGCTACTAAAATAGTGTAATGTATTATGGGCAAAATCATTGTGTGACTCATGGTAGTTGTGTGGGTCATGTGATTAAGGTTGGGTTATTGCAGGTCAGCTGGATGACTCTACAGGTTGTGGCTCTATCGCCTCCTCCTGACTCCGGAGGACCACAGAATCTTCCAGAGGTCGGTAAAAAGATAGAGGTGGAGGTCTAATCTGCGTATTCATGGAGGGGTCTGGCCAATCCCAGGTTTTGAGGCACTGGCAGAGTGGTGGACTGGCCTATAAATATGGGAGCGTCAGGTTGACAGGCGAGTCAGGTGGAAGATGGAGTGCTGAGGAGACTTGGTGTCTAAGAGGGGTCCCCTAGGTCTGGGGGGGGCAACCACTAGGCTGGGCTCAGGCTGGTTCAGGAGGATATATTCTCTACTAAGAGGCGGATCTAGTTGGGGTAAAGGCCTGGAGCAGCAGGGAGCAAGGAGGACAGTGTGAGTACAACAGTACACTTTGGAATCTACAAGGGGAAAGACTGCCAAACGTAGCAAGCTTTCCAAGAACAGGCTCAATCCTTTATCCTTTTCCTGGGAGATCTACCAAGAAGCCAGAAGGGTTGGTAATGCTTGCAGGCTGTAGAGCTCAGAGCAGCTCTGAAGGAGGAGAGAAGAAGATGTCCCTGCATGTAGCTATGAGAAGTAAAGTGATTTTTGAGGGGCTGCTAGTTCCTCACTTTTAAAGGGCAGTTGCTACTGAACTGCAACAACTGACGGCTTTCAGGAAAAGAACAGTCCAGGACCTGTTTTTGTAAGAGGGAAGCTTCCCCCCCTTCCATTGTTCAATCTGTGCAATTTTTTTTTAAGCACACACAAAACGCAGCGCAGTGAAATGGCAACATTGAAAGCAATGCCATTTTACTTAAGGCAGGCCATAGACAGTACAAATTTTTTTCCTGCAACTATGAGTTGCAGAAAAGAAATCCCCATGATTCCCCCATCAACACAAACAGTGCTGATAGGGGAATCCCTCCTGCTGAGCTATTGTCTTCTCCTGATGGGGGAGGGGGGGGCAAAGGGAGGAAGCTGTCCCACTGGGAGAAGACAATGATTGTTGCTAGCAGCTATGGCAGCCACTAGCGATAATCACAAGTAAATACAGCAAGCTGGTTGTACCAAAGTAGAAGCAACTTGGTACCTTCAGTCTGCCCAAAGATGGTTCGAATCGCGGCCAATTCCTGCTGAACTGGCCAAGATTTCAACAATCTGTGGCTGGCCTAACAGTGCATTTTGAGTGCGTTGAGCAAGCCCTGTACTAGGAGCCCAGAGATCTCCCCAAAAAGAATCAGTTACCCATACTTCCCAACTCTGAATGATAAAGAGGGACACCTTTCAGCACAAACTATGTAAGCAAAGGACAAACCCCAGTTATGTGGACTATGAAGAATTAGTATGTAAAATCTGACTGGTTAAACCCACAAGTTTTTATTTATTTATTTATTTTTATACACTATTACCTTCCTTAAATTACTTTAAAATAACAAATGGAACAATGTCAAGGTTGGAGTGAACAGTGGTTGGTGTAGTATAGCACGTTTTGTAGTTAAAGCAGATTTTCACCCTCTATACAAAGTTCCATTGTCTACACCCGTACTCCTCTCAGCTAAACAAATAATGTTTTTGAGGGTTTTTTTTTTTTTTTTTTGGCTATTTACCATTTTTTTATGTAAATGTACCATTTTTTAATGTAAATTGCTAAGGCCCATCCCCCATGCATGTCACTCACCTAGGAGAAGGACGTGCACCATGCTCTCTGTGCCTCTGGGATATGGACGTCACATGTCCCAGAAGGCATAATCCTTCATTCACAGTGGGGACCTAGCTGACCATTATGAGGAGACTCCCGATAATGTCACAAAGAACATGGCAGCATGGGACTGAGTGGTGGCAGAAGACAAGAGGATCTCAGCAAAACAACGCTGGATTTGCTGGGTTGGTGAGTATCTGAACTTTGCAGAACCCACCACCTGGTAAGCCATGGCTTAAAAAAATGTGTGTGTGTGTGTGTGTGTGTGGGGGGGGGGGGGGGGGGGGGGGGGAAGCTGAAGATTGGTAGTGTACTTTATAGAGGTCTATAAAATCAGACCAAAAGAGGGAAATCTGAGAAAGAAACAAGGGGAGAGGGATTCGATTCCCAAAGAGGGACCATTCCTCCAAACGAGGGACAGTTGGGAGCCAAGTTACCTAATATGCATGAGGTTCTCATCCATACTCCAGGGGCTCTTGGGTGTCACAGGTACAGGTATACCATGTTTCTGAAAAGAGAAATGCACACTATTAATCCTATGGTGAAATGCCATTTTTTCATTCTACATTACCCCCCCCCCCACCCGTTCAATGTAGGTCATCATTCAACCGTATTTGAACATCAAAAATAAAACCAGATTGGCCCAACATGTGAGCCCATGGGAAGCATTTCTGTAGATACAAGTTGTATGCTATGTCCGCACCTCCCAAGCATGCAATATTTGAAAGTTTGCACTGAAGTGACACAAATAATTGAAAAATCTGCCCTTAGACCAGTGGTTCTCAACCTTCCTAATGCCTTTAATACAGTTCCTCATGTTGTGGTGACCCCCAACCATAAAATTATTTACCCAGTAATTATAATTCATGAGTGTCGTTTTACCTCCAATACTGCTGCTTTCAACACCGTAGCTGCTTTTAACAGAGTAGCTGCTTTCAAAACAGCAGCTGCTTTCTACACAGCAGCTGCTCTTTACACATCGGAAATATGTGTTTTCTGATGGTCTTAGGGGACCCCTGTGAAAGGGTCGTTCGACCCCCAAAGGGGTCACGACCCACAGGTTGAGAACCACTGCCTTAGACGGTCATTTGTGAGATGTGAAAAATATTCTTGAAATAGTCAATAGACATAAATATGGAATTATTCTAAATACAAAAACAATTCCTGACTATGTATAAAATGGGAGAAATCAGTCAAAGCTGCAGCCAATTTGTAAGCACCTAGACAGAAGAGCTCCTATCCTTTTGACCTGATCAACTTACAGTGAAGGGCCCCTTCACACCTGTACATTCTGTTACTACATGGACTTTAACGTATTGTATTTTAGCATGCGGTTTTAATGTGACCATGCTTTGTGTTAAAGTGGTTGTAAACCCTTGGATATACCCAGTGAAGGGACTGGCCTCAGGTGATTCACAGAAATGAAACAAAATTATCCTACATAAGTTGTACCTGTTTATCTACATCCATCTGTTACCTACATGCATTCAAAGTGCAGAATTTACATAGGATCTCTTAGCTCTCAAATGCAGGAGGATAACAGCTGAAGTTACATCAGTGAGTAGAGCTCTGAGAGCAGATTGGAGGAAAGAGACGCCCTTTACACAGCACACAGGAACAGAGCTGAGGATGTCAATCTGCTGGAGGTCCCTCCCCTGTCACCATTTTTCTCTTGGCGTCAGGAAAATTCATCAGAAAAGACTCACGCTTCTAGCAGAGAAATGAAGCAGCAGACAGAAATGACACTCTGGATTGTGACAAATACACACCATAGAGGGATATGCTTTGTTCAGATTTCATGTCTGACGCGTACAACCACTTTAAAGGTACACTAGGTGGCCCCCATTTTGGCATAGGCAGTTCACGCAAGGTGATGCAGAAAAAAAAAGTCCCTGCTGCATTTTTTTAATGCTGTGCATTGAGGTACTCTACAGCCCAGGTGGGTTTGCAGGCTACTGTACTTATACCACTGGGGTGCCATTATAAAGGAATGACACCTTAATGCACTGTATATTGCATTGTGCCTGAACATGCATTGAGGCAATACACAGGATAACACATCCATGCATTACTCTAACACATAGGAGTAAAGCCAGGCTTAACACAGATCTTGTACACTATATTCCTAGGTAGTGAAAGATAGGCGAGTACAGGCAGTGAGGAAGGGGGAGATTAAAATTACCTGTTGCTTTACCCTGCATTGGAAAAGTACAGGTTCACCTAAAGCTTATCTAAATACATTAACAAAAATGTAATAGATTGCAACCCACCAGCCTGTATATGTAGTGGCTGCATTTGTTTTCTTTTTTAAGCTTTTTTCACTTTATTTTTATCCAGTGCCAATAACACACTTCCTGTCCTAGGGTGACAAACACTCACTTACTGTAGTTTAGCTATGGAGGTAAGGAGTACCACGTAGCCCCTCTTTTCCATAACATAGGGGGAGGCATTCTGTAGTCCTCAGGGATAGCTGGGCAAAATGTAACTGATAAGAGTGGAGCACAGGCAGAGGGCACAAGAAGTTCCCAGCTGACAACAATTTTGGCAGGATCAACTTTTTTTTTTTCTTTATGTATTGAAAAGATATCAAAATGCTTTTAATGGAATAGTTAACAGATCTAAAGAGACCCAATGAAAGAAATTTAATGTTAGGGTTTTAAATACACTTTAAATGAAACTAAATAGGTGTTGAACGTAATTTTGATTTCACTGCCCTGTTTTTGAGAATCAAATCACAGACGGAGTGACACTTTAAGCTGTCAATTAGCTCACATTGAATACCTCTGCTTGCTCAGTGATAATCCCGAGACCTGCTCATTTCTGCAGCCAAGAAAAAAAGGGTCCACACACTCGCGGCAGCCTATGCATAGTAAGAGGGCTGTATGTACAAGTGAGCGAGCACGGACATATATGAGTTCGAATAGTCAATAGATTCTATGCATTATAAACGTGGGCACAGTCTCTGAATTTAATCACAAGTTCAGCACAAAAACCTTACACTTCAAGTAACATCGTTGATGTATTCCTCCCGTACACAAAAAAAAAAAAAAAAAAACCTTTTTCTACCATCGTTAGCCACGTCTGCAGCACTCCGACTGCTCGGAATAACTCGAAATTGCTTCTGTCTCAGTGGGGCCGCTAATATGTTAACAAACTCATAGCAGGAAGACGTGGATCCCAACTGGGGCCTAGGTGGGGCCCCCCATAGGTGGTCTGCAAGCTTGCACAGAATGTGTCCCCCTCACTGGGCCGAGCAATGAAGGGTAAGCAATAAACAGAACAAAGAGGGGGGAAAAAAAAAAAAAAAAAAAAAAAAGGGCCCCCCTGCGTCCACTCCCAAAGCTTTGTCTTAATAGGCGCAGGCCAATGCCACCCACATGTGAGGAAAGGCTGCTGGCTAATGTTTAGCTCAGAGGTCTCTGTAAAGCCATTCAAACTTATGAGCTGCCCAGTTTATTTAAAGTAAGCCCTGAGCTGCTCTAATGAAGATGTCACCAGCCCTGAGACACTTCATTGTTACATAGACTTGTCCTTCATTATAATGTGCTGCCGATCGCTCTTGTCAGCGCCTACATGTTTTTGGTGGCTCTCTTTGCCAGGACACGGCGGGCACACAATACTAGAATATATGGCAGAAAAGGCAAATTTTCTTGTGTAGTTTGAGTTCTTATTGCACTTTTTACTTTCAAGAGACCCTGTCACCAACATTAAACACAAAAAAAGAAAAATCAAGCAATTTAAATGCTTACTCGTAGAGTTTTTTTCCATTTTTTGCAAGTGATCTTTGATCCTTGGCCATGATCTTTTGAACTTTCTTTGAAAAATCTGATCACTCCAGAAAAGGTTAAACCCCCTCACAGCCCAGTTTTCCTTGCAGTTTATAACCACCCTCTCCTTTTCTGGGAGTATCTCATTCCTGTCTGTGCTGGCCCCGCTCCTCTGCCCCTCCCTTCACCTCCCTAATAAACCATTTATATAGCTGCTGGGGTGGAGTGAAGGGGAATGTTATAGAGTTCCAGCTGAATGACAGCTCTGTGTCTGTCGGGGCTGCTGACATCACATCCAAAATGGTGGTGCAGAGCAACAGCCTTAGGGCTATTGGATGTCTACACAAGGGAGGCTTTTACAGTTAAATAAGAGGTTTCATTTATTACAGGTACTCATATAGCACTGTCAATTTACACAGTGCTTTACATATATTGTACATTCCAATCAGTCCCTAACCCTCAAGGGGTGTACAAAAAAAGGTCCCTAACTCACATTAATACATACACATACTAGGGCCAATTTAGACAGGAGCCAATTAACCTACCAGCATGTCTATGGAGTGTGGGAGGATACTAGAGTACCTGGAGGAAACCCACACAGGCACAGAGAGAACATGCAAACTCCATACAGGTAGTTCCATGGTTGGGTTTCAAACCAACGACCCTAATGCTGCTAGGCAGAAGTGCTAACCATTTAGCCACATATAATCATACAATCAAGTTTTTTTCTTGAAATGAATGGCCTAGTAACCGGGTCCCTTTAAAATGAATCTGTGGTTTAGTCAAGCAACAGGTTCACTTGAATTCAGATCTTCAGAGATGCATAGGTTTATTTCATTTCACTCTCCTACAGCTCTGTCCAGGGGTGAAAAGAAATCCCTGTGCTAGCTGGGAGTCACCAGAGACGTAGCTTACATAGGGCCATTAACTCCCCATGTGACAGTTCCAAGTGGCTCAGGGCTTCACACGGATTTAGTCACATGCTCCTCCATGCTTGATAGTACCACTTATTTCCTCTGCCTCCAAGTACTGAATGGAGTGGTGAGGGACCAAAGGAAAGGGAAGGACATGCCGGGAAGAGGTAGAGAGATTTCTATTAAAGCCTATCTAAGGCCAATTTTTTTTTTACAGGATAGTTAAATCCCCATCAGGCTTTTTTTTTTCGCCATCTGTGTTCTCTTCGCAAACTTATTAAATATGCACTATGATCTTCCTCTAAGGCCAAGTCTACATGTGCTTGAAAAGAGGGCAGGAATTAAGACCAATAACTTAGAGCAGGGGTCTCCAAACTCTTCAAGTGGAGGGCCACATCGTACATTTTAGATATACTCAAGAGCCGAACAAAATAAACTGTGTCCTGATCACAGCCATCAATGGGGGGTTGATGGCTGTGATGGGGACACAGTTGTGGGGGATGTGATGTCTCTGAAGGTGATACAAATGTGCCCACAACTATGTCCCCATCACAGCCATCACCCCCCCCCCCCCCCCCCCGACTGTGTCCCCCATCGCAGCCACTCACTAACGGTGTTCCCTTCAATGCCATCAACCCCCATCCCCCACAACTGTGCCCCCATCAGAGCCATCATCCCCCTAGCTGTGTTCTCCTCAGTGCAATTGACTTATCAGCTTTGGAGACCCTTAACTCCAAGGATTCTAATTGAGACACAAGGAGACATTCCATCTGGCTCAGTACATTCTGGATAGAAGTTCACTATCAAGCTGATTTGAGTCCTTTATT